AGACTACCATTGCATGAGCTGCCATTATACTTCTCCAACAGTAACTTGGGCAATTACCAATAGTTGCATCTGTAAAACTGGTTGTGGGATAATACCTTGCCTTATAAATTTTAGCCACGAGTGATCCTGGGTCCGTCAAAAAACGTCATGCCTGTTTACCCAGCATAGCTAGATTAAAAGCCCTTAGTTCTTTAAAACCCATACCACCATACTTCTTTCGTATGCACAACCTATCCCATGCCTTCCAATGTATTCCACTTTCCCTTCCATTCCCCCACCAATATTTATTCATAGTTCGCTCAATTGACTGACAAACTGTGTCAGGTAGCAAAAAAACACTCATCGAATAGGTAGGCATAGATTGCGCTACACTTTTCAATAACACTTCCTTTCCAGCCTGAGAAAGTAACTTTTTACTCCACGAACCAATTCGTTGCCTGATCTTTTCCTCCACATACCAAAAAACAGCTCTCTTATTTCTCCCTACAAAGGAAGGTAGGCCCAAATATTTTCCAAAATTGGGTGCTTGCACCACCCACAGACAATCCGCTATGTGTACCCTGTCAGCCTCCTGGGTATTTCTGCTAAAACATATATTAGATTTATTATAATTCACCACCTGGCCTGACAATTTCTCATACCTTGCAAGGCACTGCCTTATAACTCCCGCCTCCTGGATATTTGCTTTAAAAAATAGGAGACTATCATCTGCAAAAAATAGGTGCGATACAGGTGGCGCCCCCCTTGCAACTCTGCACCCATGTATTGAGCCTGCCAACTGTTCATACTGTAATATCATCGATAGAGCCTCTGCACAAATAATAAATAAATACGGAGAGAGAGGGTCTCCCTGCCTGAGTCCCCTGGTTGGTTTTACGTGCCCTCCTGCTATACCATTGACCATTACAGTATAATTAACAGTCGTTACACACAACATAATGAGCTTTATCCACTTCTCACTAAAACCCATAACAGTCAGCATCCTTTCAAGAAAGTTCCACTCCATTCTGTCATAGGCTTTTGACATATCTAACTTCAAAGCACTCCACCCCACTCTACCACATTGCTTTCTATTCAGATAATGCCCCACCTCTGCTGCTACTAAAATGTTGTCAGTGATTAGCCTTCCCGGGATAAAAGCACTCTGGGATTCTGATATTAATCCTCCCATTAGTGTTTTCATCCTATTTGCTATCATCTTGGCCATAACTCTGTAAATGACATTACTCAACGCAATCGGCCGTAAATCTGCAACTGTCTCAGGCATCTCCTTCTTCGGTATCAAAACAATGTTAGTATCATTCAATCCCTCGGGGAATACACAGGAATTTAAAGCATTCGTTATAAAGCCAGATACATCTTCTCCCACTATCGCCCAAAACTGCTGGTAAAAACCCGGGTTTAACCCATCCGGACCCGGTGCCTTATCCGGATACATTGAAAAGAGAGCCTGTTTCACCTCATTAGTTTCAAAAGGGCGGTCAAGCATCACATTCTGTTCTAACGTTACTCGTGGGGCTAGGACCCCAAAAAGTGGATCATCACAACTCAATCCACTAGAGGCAAAAATATTGTCAAAATAACTTTGTATAGCATCATGCATATCATCCCCCTCCACCCAGTTACCAGCATGACATTTAATACTAGAAATAAAATTCTTTTTCCTACGTGCAGAGGCATACATGTGGTAAAATTTTGTATTCGTATCAGCCCCGCGTAGCCAGTGCTGCTTAGCTCGCTGCCTCCAGAACACATCCTCCTGGGCCTCGATTCGTTTAAGGGAATTCTCAATCTGTTGGTACTCAGCTAGCGCTACCAAATCCCTTCTATCTCGTATGGAATCTTGCCTCTGCTGTAGCTGGTTAATTCGTTTCCCGAATTTATGAAACTGGTCTCCCCCCCACCGCATTAATTTTTCTCCACACAACTGCTGGCAATGCAGCAATCCCTCCGTCTTCCCCTCCTGCCAGGCCGTTTCTACTACTTCTTTGCACCCCTCATCTAATAGCCAAGCCATTTCAAACCTGAATCTCCGCGGCCCCCTTCCCCTTGGCATGCAAATCGCATTAATACTGAGGAAAAGGATCGAGTGATCCGAAGCCCGGGTTCGAATATTCTCCAACCATGCATTCTCATTTAGCAGACCCCAATCATTCGTTATTAAAGCCTTGTCCAACCTTTCCTCTATCCAATTCGGCGTCCCATTTCCCTTCTGCCACGTAAATTGGTGGCCTCTCATTGGCATTTGCATCAAACCACAGTCATCCACAGCATCTCCGAAACCTCGTAACAGACTATTAGGATACGGATTTCCCTCCTTCTTCTCATGCTGATATAGAAGATTATTAAAGTCTCCTATCACCACCCAGGGCAATAAGGATCTAGTCTTCAGAGTACCAAGCAAATCCCATGTCTCCTCCCGCCTACCACGCTCGGGGATACCATAGATACATGTCATGCACCATACCTTATTAAACAAGCTTACTTCCACATCAATATGACTTTGCGAGTTGCTTAAAAGCCTTACCGTATTATTCTTCTTCCATAAAAGCGTCATTCCTCCACTCAATCCATCGTTATCAACATAAAACAAACCTTCATACCCAAGCGTAACCCGGATCCGTTCTGCATGTATCCGTGGTACCTTGGTCTCCATCAAGAACACAAAATCTGGCTTCTTACTGGACGCTAGGCCCACAATCTGTCGAACTGTGCGTGGATTGCCCAAGCCACGACAGTTCCAACTCAAAGTACTCATGATGATGGGCAGGGCTGAACACCAGCTCCCGCCATGGACAAGTTTTTCGAACCAACCGCATTTGTTACCTCATCGTTTCCACTATCTTCTCCCCCCTCCGTCCCATGCCTACGACGCTTTGCCGTAGCCACCACCACCTCATCCTCAGACATACTCGTGGGTGTGACACCCCCACTCCCTTGTCCCCCCTCTACCACACGTAGCTTGACTCCCAATGGTCGTGGTTTCCCGCCAACCGGAACAAGCCAGCTATCCCCAACCGCTCTAGGAGCGCTCCGGGATCCACCAGCTCGCATATCCGGGCCGTACAGGTACCTTTCGACCGGAATTCCAGCCTCTCTAGCGTGTATACAGAAAGTATGCAAGTGACCCATACAACCACAAAAGTAGCAAAACTTATGCAGCCGTTCATACCTAAAATTTACCCATGCTGTAGTCCCATCTCTCTTCATCAACCTCATCCTTCTTCTGAGTGGCCTATCAACCGAGATTGACACCCGAATACGGTGAAACGTTAGCCATGGCGCTCCCTCAAATCGGTCATCATGTTTAACAAAAGACCCCAAAAAATTCCCTGCCTGTTCCAGAATTGTATGCGACGTGTATCCCTTTGGCATATCATGCAACTGTACCCACATGTCAATCATATCCAACTCCACATCCACAGGATTTACCCCATCCAACACCTCTCGACACACAAGAGCATTATTCTCAAAAGCCCAGGGTCCCCCATTCAGCACGTATTCCATATCCGTCTTATGGAAAAAAACAAATAAGAACAAACCCCTTTGAATTTCCGTTACCTGGACTCCACGTACCGGTTGCCAAACAGACGCCAGAACCTGCCTCATAAAGTCCAGTTTTATCATCTTCTGCGTCAAAAACCGCCCGACAATCCTCCAAGTCTCCTCCTCCTCCTCCCCGTCTACCTCTACCACCGCATCTCCACCTTCCGGCATAAACACCGCCCCCTCCTCCTCCATCAACGTCATCTCCGCCCATCTATCCGTCATCTCCGCCACACCCCCCACTACCCCTTGCTGCCGTGTAGACCCCCCATCCCCCCTCCCATGGTGTACCGCACCCATTCCGCCCTTTCTCCCTCCTCTACCCATTCTGCCTACATCAACTCCCACGCCATCCAAACCGCCCACGCCGCCCTCATGCATGCCACCTAAACCTCCTGCCAACACACCTCCCCCACGCCCCAAACCTTCGCCACGCTCCCCCATTCCCCTACCTTCCCGAAACCCTTGTGTCGGCTGCACCCCAGCACGGGCTCCGTATTCCCTCCCTATTTGCCCCCCACTAACAGTTCGCCTTGCATCATGCATTCCATCCATCGTGCGGCGCCTCTCAACATCTTCCGATAATCCCCTAACTCGCGCTTCTTCCATCTCGGCCAGCCTCTCATTACGTCGGTTGACCTCGCCATCCATAACAACATCATCGGCCATCTTTCAGGGAGGATTAGAACAAAAATTGTCTGAAAACCTAGGAAAACCCTAGTAGGTCTGCAAAAACCCTAGAGAGAATCTAGAGAGAGAAAAATATTGATAAAAATCAGTTAATTTATAAGTAATCAAAGAATTCAGGAGGAAAACCTGAACCATTCATTTGAATTAATAATTTCACAACCATTTTTTCTACCCATTATAAGCCTAACTTTCTTTGGCTCTTATTAGTATATATATAGTACAGTAGAAATCCATTCGGGATTAAGCAATTAAGTGAATCTAATGTACGAAGTCGTGTATACAATGGAGAAATACGAAAAATTATACATTAGGCAGATGGAATGACTACTTTACCTTTTCATTTAAAGTCCATCCTATCGTAATATGACGAAAGGACCTCAATTGAAAAGAAATTGAAAGTCAATGAATGTAAATTATCCAAATTAAAAGTCAAGAACTAAATTTGAAAAATCAATATAGTCGGAGAATCGTTGTTAGAATTAACTCCATAATAAATAGTCTTTTTCAAAGTTTGGGGCGGTGAAAAGCTCCACCGCTCCCGAACGTGCCCCTAAAAATTGATACGATTTGTTAAAAAATAAAAATAAAAATAAAAATTGATACGATTAGGGTTAGGATTTGAGGAATGCTAGCAGTATATATTCATGAGTTCTATTACATGTACTTCCTAATTTTACTCTGATGTGACGAATTCTGAGAGTAGATGTAGTATTTTCCATATATTCATATGCATCCCTAGCGGCAGACAGTAAACTCTTGAAGAGAAACGATGAGTTCTTCAAAGAAGGCATCGGCTTCGGCTATAGCTTTTCTTCCCCAAGGGGCTTTACCTATTCTTCCAGAAGAGATCATCGTCCTAATTCTTAGTAAACTCCCTGCCAAATCTCTGGTGCGATTCAAGTGTGTTTCTAAATTTGTTTGTTCTCTGATTGTTGATCATTCCTTTGCCGATCTACACCGCAACTGGTCTTTAACCCTTCCCAGTAGGATAAGGATTCTAATCTCTCTGCCGACGGCCATGGGCCACCCCTGCGGCGGATACCATTTGTATTTCACAATAAATTATTCTGAAGAAAACCAAGGAATGTTCTATCCCAACCGTCTCCGGTATATGAATGAAGACCCTAAACTCTATAAAAAGTTCTATATAAGTTCTTCCGTGAACGGCCTGATTTGTTTCTGCCCATACTCACTGCTCAAAGATTCCATTGTTATTCACAACCTTAGTACTCGACAGTATATCTCTCTTCCAAGAAGCTGTCGGAGAGTTTCTCGCTCCGAGAGCATCAGGATGCAGGCTTTTGGGCTCTTAGGTTTTGATTCAATCTCGAAAAGATACAAGGTGTTGAAGTCAGTACTATACTACACCAAGCGCCCCTCCAGGTTGCGCCGCTGGGTAAAGCATTATGTTTTTACACTAGGTGTGGATGAATCATGGAGATCATGGAGGGAGATTCATTCTTCTTCCACCTACTATCCTTACACTTTTTATAATAATCATTTCTATTCTCATACTAATGTTCATATTGACGGTGTTATCTATTTTCTTAATTCCTATAATAAAGGTGAAATAGTAGCATTTGATGTTAGATCTGAGAATTTTCAAGCTATACCTCCTCCTCCACCTTCTACTATACCTGGATTGGTTGGGGAAGGGGAGCAGGGCCATAGTGGTCGATCTGGATTGGTGGAGGTGGATGGTCGATTAGCTATTGTTGATCTTCTTAATGACCATGATCACCCGGGATGCTATGGTATAGCAATATGGATTCTTGAGGAGTCTATGGTGTGGAAGAATCAATATTTGATTATTACTCCAATCCCATTGGAAAAGTTTGATGAATCTAGTAAGAGAGTTTTGTGTGTTGCTACCAATCATGTTGGGGAGATTACTCTCCTCGTGAAACACCTCGTGAGACAAAGGAGCACGATTTCTATTTTATTTTATAACTTTAGAAAAAAGAATTGGAGAAAATTTGATATACGGTTGCCTTGGTACTTTCAGTATGCTGCAATGTACTTCGTCTTAGACAATGTCTTTTAATTTTATTTGATCATGTACTTTACCTTATTTGATGATGTACTTTATCTCAGACAATGTTTTTTAATTTTACTTATGAATGTATTCTCCAAGCAACTAATAGTTTATTATTATTGAAAGGATTTATTTATTTATTTGATTAATACATTTTTTTGGTGTGTATTTTAGTTGGGTGCTGTATGTATATATTTAGTTTTTTTGTTGTCCCTGCCCCCTTCTTTGCAGCTTTTTGAAAAGCTTTTGTAATATGTAAATGCTTTTGTAACTGGTGACATTACTGGGGTTATTAAGTATTATGTTTGCTTCTGTGTCATGACTCTTATATCCATGCCCTTGAATTGATGTTTTCTGGGATTAAAATGCTGATAAGAAATACATTAGTATTCATTTAGCAAATAAAAATATATGTTTCTATAATGTATTGGCCACTTGGTATTTCTCATGAGTGCTCCATTTTGTCTCATTATGCTACGCCTCATACATTTTGAAACTTGTGGCTAATGTTTTCTTTTGGTGGTTTTGGAGAGTGAGGGATTAATTTTAGACAGCATTGTTAGTATATTGCAGGGTGGGTTTTCCCTGTCAAATTACCACCTATGAAAGAAACAAGATTTGTTGGTTTTCCACCAGCAGCTACAAGACACAATTTTGAACACATTTGGAACTCCTTAAGTTTTTGGCAGATTGTTTTAATTCTAGAGAAGCAGAAAAAATGTACCCCCAAGTTAGGATCTATGGAGAATAATGAGTTAAAAGATTCATCATTCATGTCAAAGCATTTATTATTTGGCTAATCATCTTCCTTTTTCTGCTTGTTAAAATTATTGGAAGGATTGAAGGAATGGATTTCAAATTGTTCAATTATAGTGGCTCCTTTCTGTCACTTTGGCATTACTCTGAAATACTTCCATTTAGTGATTTATGCTGCAGCCTTTATTGAAGTGAGGGTCACCTAATTTGTCATGGAAAAGTACTTTGTAGGTTGTGTTACTTTTGGTGACTTTTGTTTAGGGGAGTTAGAGAAAACAATTGCAGATTTGGTAGGGAGTGGCAATTCTGAAAGCAGAGAATAATGTTACAAAAGGGGTTTTTTCCCAGTCCTGAACGGTGGTAATAATAAGCATGTGGCTGGTGATAAGGTCAGAGATAAACAGAAGGATATGCAAGACATGGAGTCAACCCTAAAAGAGTTATTGGTAATATTGAATTGTTCCTTTCTTGTTTTTAGTCACAGACAAATTGCAGTTCATAAATCTAGTTACTTGAGCTTCCTTGCAGGATCAATCCTCCTCCTTTCGACTATTAGAGCTCAAGCATCTTCACCAGGAAAGGATAGAAATATTGAAGCATTTGTCTAACTTGCAGGTTAACTGGAGAAATATTTTGATTTCCTTTTTCCAACTCTCCCTTTTTTATGAGAGTTGATGTTCATCTCTGAGAGTGCCTTGTTACTTTGTTCAGTAATGGCTTTAATTAGATATTTGCTTTACAGAACATATTGAAGAATGTGAAGTACATATGCTCTTCACATTCTTATGTCTTAATTAAAGAGCAACCTGAGAAGACTAAGGCAAATTTAGCTCAGTATCAATCTATGTATAAGAAAATACAGGTACCTACTGGTTGCTAGTTTCATCTGTCTTTTTTTTTTTTTTTTTTTTTTGTTGGGTCCTGTTTTTAAGTTCCATTTGCTGGCAACTGATTAATTCATTTAATATTAGGTTGAAAAGGATGAAAGAAATGAATTTGAAAAATGATTTTACTTCGTGTTTTGCATCGATCCTCCACTGTTGTTGTTTCCAGAATAAACGTTCTTGAAATGGAGATACAGACATTCGATGGATTAAATAGGACGTGTTTGTTATGTGTCACGGTAGTAAATAATAAAAATTAGTATGAAATAAATTCTTCTTTAAGGCATGAGGCAATGTTCGAATTCTTCATAGTATCGAAGCATTTGGAGGTCAGTTGGTTAGTTGAGACACATCTCGCAATTCACTTTTGCTAACAATATTAAGCTGAGATAGGAGTAGATGGATCTTTAAGGGAAAATGGGAGTTTGGTCCTTGAGTTATAATTGTAGTGACGACTCAGTCTCTGTGTTATTACTGTATCTATTTTTAGTCCCTCAGTTATGAAAAAAGTGACGAGTCCCTGACGTTAATGGTGTGTTGACAAAGTTAATTCTCAGGTAAAGAAGTAAATTCCTTAATAAATTTTGTAAACTTAGTCAAAATATTTTCACTCAAATCGACAAAAGTCCTAAGTTGCTTATGTAATCAATAAAGAAATCTTACTCCCGTTTTTTCTAAAAAATCAAATTTCAATATTTCATTCTATTTATATATTAAAAAAAACATAAATTATAATTTTTTGATAAATACAAAATTTTGCTTCATGCTGACAAGCTTGGTATCTTTTCCCTCGATTTGCATAATTTTATAACTTTTAAATAATTATTTTTAAAAAATATTTTAAATTTAGGATGACCCAATGGTGTAATTAGGAACAATAAAAGACACTCAACCCAAGGGCCACATTCTGTCAACTTTCGGGTTCACATTTTCGGTCCCACTGAATATTTAAGATGATGTAAATCATGGTGACACAATAGCTCAACAGATATGGTCAACTTACTAAAGGGCTGGCTGTGCAGGATTAATAAAAATAAAAAAAAAAAATTAAATAATTAATAGCAATGAGTCAACCAAACACTAATGGGAACCAAATCATATATTATTATTGATTATTGCTTCCATTATTCCATAGAAGTATACAGCTAAGGTAATGAAAACTAGCTTATTTTTATTTATTTATTTATTTCTTTTTTTTTTTTGAAAACTAGCTCACTTAAATTTTTGGCACATGCGATATTATACTTAGTCGGATAATTGTTTTTCTTTTCCAGCATACTAATAACAAAAAAAAAGATGATTATAATTGGTGAGGAATGGGTCCGGTCATATATTAATTAATGGCCCGCTTAATGGTGAGGATATGGGTCCGGTCATATATTAATTAATGGCCCTATCTAATATCTTAAGAAAATTGCACCATATATAGGACCCGACCTAAAGGGAACGTTATGTCGTGGAATCAAGGTGGGCACGGTTCCATATTAATAATTTTTATACTGTAAATTCATAATTTCTATATTATAAATTTATAATTTCTAAATCATAGATTCATAATTTAAATACAATAAATTCATAATTTCTATACTGCATACTCATAATACTTATACTATAGATTTATAATTTTTAAACTGTATAGTTATCAAATTATGAACATATAATTATGTGATTTGTGAAAACAGAGTTCAATAATTGAGAATATAAACATCGAAAATTATGAACATATAGTTCTATAATTATGAATCTATAGTATAGAAATTATAAATATGAAACTGTGCCCACCTTGGAAGGTGAGCACGTTTCCACAACATAATTTGCCGACCAAAAGAATCCATATTTCGCTAACATGTTGCTTAGAGTAAATAATAAAATATTATTTTTACTGCGATAAATTGGGTGGTCTCGAATAAATATTAAGTTTCCATAAGTCCAGTAAGATTAAATGGGATATATATTTAATAGGCAAAATGTTCTATTGATTGTACTACAATTTTTAAATTGACCATCGATTATTAATTTATCAAAAATATAGCCCATTTGTTACATAAAATTTAACTCAATTCAGTCTCCAATGTAAGTAACCGATGATGACTAGATTGACTAAAACTTTAGATAGCCAAAACCCTCTCAGCTTTGCTTACATTCCACAAAGCGTAGCCACCACTTCAAGGTCTCCTGCAACCAATTCAAATGATTAATAGAAAGTCTTTCGGACCTAACTGACTCGCCCCAAAATCTCGCAATTTCATCTTTACGGTGCTTCCAATAAATGGAAGATGGGGCAAATGTCAGAAGCGAGGTGTCTGTTTTGGACACTGAAACCAGATGCCATAAGGAGTGAAAGAGAGGAGGACACGTAGGCAATTGACGTATTACAAGGAAGACGGCGGCGACTCCCACCCCAAGCTCGACAGAAGAGACGTCATTCTTGGGTTGGGAGGCCTCTACGGCGCCGCTAGCCTTGTGACTATCTAGTCCACTGGCCGCTGTTGCAGATCCCATTCAGGCCCCGGAAGTCTCCAAATGCGTCGTCCCTCCCACGGACTCGGAGCACCACGTTGGAGCCCAAAAGCACCCGGCCCACGACACCATGGAGGTGTCCCAACCCGAGTTGACCCACGTGGGGCTCAGGTCGGATGACACGACCCTACCTGAGCTTGGCCTATAGCGGGCTCGGGTAGGAGAGCTCGGTACTACCCGAACTCGGCACCACCCGAGCACAGGACCCGACTCGACCCGGTCCACCCGGGCCCAGTCAAAGTAGTGATCCAACCGCCCCCCAATTTAGGGGGAGGCGGTTAGGGGGCTTAGCTTGTATAAAAGCCCATCATCCTTGTCCTAACAAGGGGCATTCTATTCTATGTCCTACGATTATTACACACTTTGTCCTAAGAAATTACTGTAATAGTCAATTTACGGCATTTAATACAATATACGGTCTCACGGCCTTACGACATCGTTCCGTTCATTTATATATTATTTTATTACGTTCTTATCCGGATTTATTTATTCGGGTCCACCCCAGGTTAATTAAATCCATCATTAATATTATTGTGGATAGGCATTCAACATAAAAACAAAAGCACCAAACAAAGTTCAGATACGTAATGTTGCTTAGTGAAAAACACCAACAAAAAAAAAAAAAAACAGTAGTCTAAACAATAGTAGTAATAGTATGTATCGACTTGAAGATCGAGTTTTTCTTTGAAGATTTTTTTATATACACCAGTCAGCCTACATCTAAAAATGCTTTTTCATATGTCTATATGCATATAAGTGTCATGTTTTTATCAAACTAAAGGTTGCCTAATAATCTCTTGAAGCAGATAAGGAACGTTTTTGGACTCGAAGTCCCTTACTTCATTATCATTGGAGCACCATTGTAGAACCAGAAGTTCCATAATCGCAACATA